GGGAGAGAGAAAAGTGGATTTCAAATCTTGGCAACTATTTTTATGACGTTGCCTCAGAAACTCAAGATCAGTTTATGGCAATATTGTCTTATCAGTTTCATCAGTGCACAACTATTGTCACAATAATCCATCGTTTTAATGACGGCCTAGACAATATTTCAATCGGTGTGAATTACTTTTAATAAGGAGGAATCAGTGCCACCAACATGGTATTTTACTCTGTGATGAGAATATAAGAAAGTTGTGAACTTCCAATTAGAACCGAAACTATTTCATGAATGATATATCATTGATATCATAATATTTTTCATTTATATCAAATGGCAGGCGTTTTGATAGTTATCATTAGCCTTTTAGCTGACTTCGGACTTCACAGAGGGGAGGAAAATCATAGCGAGAAAAAATCGAGAGGGGAAAGAAAAGTGATTGGCTGAGGTACAAGAGACAGACAGACACAAATGTCGAGAAGAGGTAAGGGGAGCATTGTTGAAGTGGTCGAATTCGACATACAGTGGGGTCAGGGTAATTTGGAGTCAGAAGTCAACTGCCGGTTAATAGACTTCAAAGTGGACTATTAAATAAATGTCATCAAAATAATCAACTATTATCCATATTAAAAATACAAATTAGACATGTCACACTGCGATTATGTACTGCAGCTAACCAAACCATGCAGACTGTTTACTTACTGAACGAAATTAATTTCAGCCGCATTGTTCTTTACATGCTCTTGAAGTGCTCACTTACACTGGGAGTTATGCAGGCTGAAAGGTCAACTTTGGTTAATTGTACTGATTTTCATTAGGATTCGAATTCTCTAGCGACTTCGTGGTCATCTATTTCACCGTACAGTTCCAATGCGTTTTGTGCTAACATCTGAACTTGAGATGGAGTTACTGTACGACTTCCAACTTAGTTTCTGCGTTTCTTGAGGGAAAGAAGTATTAGCTAGGCTAACTGTCTTTTCTCCCCTCCCCCTACCCCCCTCCCACCCCCCACCCACTCACTTCCCTTCTATAGGTCAAATCTACCGTAGATAAGGGTGACTGCTATGTCTTTAAAAGTCTGTCTGAATTAACGTACGTTTGTGCTATAAATTAGAAATGCTGAAAATTTAATAATAACGCGATACCTTTAATTGCTACTCATGGAATAGTAATAATGCCATTGAAAATATACTCAGTAAATATACAATTTCGAGCTAGTTGCGGTTGATGAAATTAGACTACACCTAATGGTCAACAATAGAGCACACATTTCTCAGAGCAAGTGTGAAATTTTGTGCAGTATAGCAGTGTACTAAACTCGTCGTGATATGAGTTAGATTCATAGTACCACAAAGATTTCACCTGTGACTGATCAGATGCATCACATCTGTGGTTTTGTGGAAAAATAGAGTTTAAAAATGCTTTTGTTAGGTAATCAAAAATGGAATCATTACTCAAGCTACTCATCTAAAACTCCTTTCACAGAAGATGGAATTTAACTCATTATCTTCACCATCTTCTTTTACGACTAAATCTGCCTATTTCCCATTCAGTAGAAACACGTGGAAAATGAAGTGACTCTTTGCCTGCACCTTATTGTGCTAATAGTTGCTTGGACATTAGTCTGTGTTTGTGAGTCATTGTAACCAGCTTTTGACCTGAGTAAATTTTATTTATGATCTGGTTGCCAAAGTAGTTCAATCACTTTTAATAACCCTAAATAATGGAGGGAACGATTAAGGATCGTTGTCCCAATGGTAAGTTCGCGTGACCCCAAAGAGTAGCCACCTCAATGTTCGTGCGGATGCAGTATACTATAGGAAATGAGGTCATTTTTCCCAAATGCAAATCTGACTTGCTTTTGCATACGCAGCATGCAATAGCATTTTTGCATTTCATCTCCTTGAACTAAGAGCTTGATACAATTCCGAAAACAGGAGATTCATTATAAAAGCACTGTTGTGAAGGTTGTCCAGTAAAAGGGAAATAGCAGACATCTATTAGATAAAAAAATTTGTTCCAAAGTGCACACGAGTTGTAAGGGGATTATGGGGCGTTAACAAACACGACATGTTAGTTCTCGAACGCACTTAAATGTGGGTGTAAGAAAGGCTTGAGAACAAGTTCGAACATGGGCTACTGGTATGAATTTGTGGCAGTAGTATCACTTTTATTATCCGAAAAAAGTGGTCTTGTGCCTTGCACACATCATTAGAAAGGTCCATATTGTTTCACTTTACCAGTTAGAGTTAAAATTATTACTTTACTTATGGTCAAGTACAGCTAATTTTGATGCTGTCAGCTTGTTTGTGTAGTCCCAGGAGTATAATCACCAAGATCGTTGATTTTGAATAACAAAAAGAGAATTTGACTACCTATCCACCTTAGAAAAAAGTTGTTATTAAACTTCAAAATATTTGTCACAGTGATCCACCTACCCCTGGCAATAACGCAAATATAAGTAAGGAGTGGTGATGTGGCCATCCACGGAAGTAGGCGCACTCGGAGTGCGGTCAATATGATCCCACACATGGATCCAGGAGATCAATTCAAAATGTGAATCAACTGTTTATAGGAATATGGGAAATCAATTTTGGCATTATTTAAACCTCATCCTTTGACATCTTACAATTTGCGTTATTTTAAACTTGAACCACAATGAGTGATAATAATTAAGGCAGTTTAAAAACGATAGTCTGTTTAAAGTTTGAACAGTCACTTTCATTAATATTATATAAATATTTAAGCTTAATTTTTTATTACTAGTCTCCATTCCAAGAGAACTCAAGCAAACTGCTCAATTCTAAAATTATTTTAGCCTATATAATCTGACTGGGAAAATAGCCCTTGATAATTCATGAACAAACATCCAAATAAGCAGCTATACAAATACTGTAAATGAACCGGATCGAGAATTCCTTGAATTGGGTACCCGGAACATGAGAAAATGATACCGCGAACTAAAAATGAATCTAAAGAGATTCCAAATTTTGTCAAAATCAATTGCAGATCCTCCATTCCGGACTTCATTAAAATGTTACACATTTCATATCTTTATAAATGTTTTGATGGATTATAAAATTTGGCATTGTATATCATACATTGAAGGTAATATTTTTCAGATTTCTGGAGATGGAATATTTTAAAAAGGGATAGTAGTGTGCCATACCAGTAATTTGGACCCTAACAAGCTGTGCCCACACATTCTATTGGTCCACAGACAACCCAATCAGATTAAGCGTTTGCATGAACTGACCGGCACGTGCAATTATTGGTCAGTAAGTTGTATAAAATGTGCTCGACAGAACATCAATTCCTAATAGCTTATTTCATTTCACTTGAGATCTTTTTGTTTTGCTACCAATGGATTTTTCCAATACTCTTTCGGAAATTACGAACCATTGCATGCTTCATTTCCAATCCATTAAGCTCAAATCAGCAATCGTAGATGCTATTTCAAGTTGTCTTCACTTACCAGACAACTCAAATATACTAATCGAAGGCACTTTAACGCTTGATATTAATGGAGCAACCGCGCCAATTGCATTGACATTTGGTGATGGTGCCAACTCGGAGGCAAGTTCACAAACACGTCGAACGCCATCAAAGCGTAAAGCCTATAGACCCGTTAAATTTACGGGACAACAAGCAACACCCTGCTCTGATCAGTTGCTAAATGAGGAGCGACTTTCGTTTTCTGAATCTATTACTCCCACTTCAATGAAAGACTGTGCTCTGGATCTTACAAAAGGAGCCCCTGTTCCTTCACCTCTTCAAGAAACTCCAGTGAAACCCGATAGCGTTCTCGTTAATGAGGTCATGAGGCTTTTCCAGTCAAACCTTTTCCCTTCTTCAGGCTTAATACTAAATCATTCAACATCAACTCCTCCAGCTATATCGACTGCCATAAAATTTGAATCATCTTCTTCTGCTACTACTCCGAAGAGACGAAGAGAAGTTAGTGGAACACCAGTTCGAAAATCATGCGAAGTTCGTCAGTTTAGGTGCAATCAGTGTGACGGCCTATTTAACTCACTTCGAGATCTCGAATGCCATACTCTTGTTGTTCATTCTGGATTTAGATGCCACTTGTGCAAAAAGTCATTTACTCAACGCTCTAATCTACAACGACATGCTCTTAAACATGTTGATTTCAAGCCATTTGAGTGCATTTTATGTGAAAAGGCCTATTATCGAAAGGATCACTTAATGAGACATATGCAGAAAACTCATCCCTTCCATCCTGTTGGGGAGGGTATTCGCGTCAAATTGAGGTCCTCTCAAAGTCTTGATTACCTTCGACAAATAAACGAAGATTATCCAGCCACAAATGCTGCTATTCACAATGGGAAAACCAACAGTGAATCATGCAAAATGGTCAATAGCAAGATTTCTGAAAGTGGAGAATTAACAGCAATGGAAACCGACACTAATGCCACCGAGTCTCCGGCTAAGACGTCCTCTGATTTCCTTTCAGATGAATCAAATCCTCCAAATGTATATGAATTAACTCTTCCCAGTTCACCCCATTAAAACTGCTTTTATATTTTTATGTGCAAACTAATTCTTAATAATTGGTTTACTAAAGGCCCATTTTTATATTTTCATATTCTTTTTCTATTCAATGGTGGTTGGGTGGGATTTCAGACAAGGAGGATTGCCTTATTGCACCAACACAAAAGAGGTGACTTGACCCTACTTGACTCGAGTTGAGTTGAGTTTAGTTTAGTTTAGTTGGCTATAAAAACCAATAGGGGTGCTGTCACTAGAAACGCCAAAGTGTCCACTTAAGTAGACTTGTATTTGGTGGCATTTTTGAAATATCTTGATTGAAAAAGCTTGGATAAGATAGTAGGCCTCGAATGAAGGATTTGTGAATAACTGTAAACATGTCCCTATTAAGAGTGATAATAAACGAGGATGATCAATTCTGGGCGCAATAAGGTTGCCGATGATGTACATATGGCATTCATGAAATTATCAAGTGTATTAACAAGTCTTGAAACTAATAGTTGCAGGTTAACTAAAGGGAAAAATTTAAATTGCTGGGAATGGGGACTATATTCTCAAAGCGTTCTAACTTAAAGAACATTTTTGAGATGATTAAATATATTTGGCAAGTTACGTCAAAACTTTCAGAGTAATTAAGCAATCCCTTTTGCTGTTGAAAAGACAAAGCGATTGAGAGACTGGGACACCGCACGACTTTCAGTAGCAAACGTCGTTAGTAACCCTATATATAACGCCTTCATCAAAAGGGAAGTAAGTGTCCTCACAAAATAATTACTTGATCGGTCTTCAAGAATTATTCATTAAACTATAGGATTTTTGGCGTTATGCAGCATATTCGTGGTTGAAAATGCTTGAAAAACCACAAGAGTTGAGGACTTTAGCAGCTTGCGCAGGGAGATTAGTAGTTGCTTTGTCTCTACATAGTTGAAAAGAAGTTTTACCAAAAGTTCCTAAAAGTTCAAATGCGCCATTTATTCCACCGTATCTATTATGGCTTGTGAGTCAAGTTGAAACATGTGGATTTTCACTTTACCCAAATAAACTCTGTTCTCCCCCTGTCAGTGATCCGTTATAAGGTGGACTCAGACATTCAAACCCCTTACAGGGATGATTTATGTGAAAGGAAATGGGAAGAGAACCCACTTGGTTAAGGACGAGGTTGAGTTTGCTCAGTAGACACGTTCGTTCACGTGTGAAGAATTTGTATCATTGTTGGAGAGAGGGATGTTGGGAAGTGGTGTGGAGTGGGCGAGTTTTAGAAGGCTGCATTTGAGTTTATGGGATATAGCTACTGGACAGAGGGGAGTTTAGCAGGTGGTTTGTGAGCCGTCTCTACTCACAATTCGAGAGCTTTTCACCTGCTTCAGGTTAGCCAGGTGCTCTAAATCCCGTATAGATTATTAGTCATAAGTCTAATAAGATTAAGCGGCAAGTGATTTGACGAAGGAAAAGTATTTCCATCGATGCTTAATGGCAGCGTTACATTTACCTTACTAATTCCTACAGAAATCCGAGTAAAAAGTAGTTTGATAGATGTCCTAGGCTCTTTCAAAACCACTCTTCCCTTTTGTAGAATGGTACATAAATTATTTTCGTGTCCAAATAACGGACCCAGATCATTAAACAGTTCAGGTCTCTGGACCCCTTTCCCGTCCAAGTAACTGCGAATAAATGTCACAATAAAATAGGTGACTAGCGTTTTGTTTACATAACCACAGAATCTGATTATATGTTTATGGAAAGGGGAACTTGATAGTTGTGTCACTTGCAGATCAAAGTACTGCAGATTAAATGCTACTGGTTCACTTATTTGAAGAGGCAGACCGGGGTAGTTTTGTGAAAGTGGGAGATTTGTCTTTCTTCATTTTTCATTAGAGCTAATGTGCTCAGCTATAGTTGTCTCAAATACTAAATAACTTAGAACAATTTCAGTTCTAGGTAAATTATATAAAAGGAATCAATTATATCCGTCTTTAGAGGGAGATCTTGAACAAATCAAACAATGACAAACCGGAGTTTCAATTACAAACAGTTTTGGCTACAAATTACCACTAGGAATTACATTACCCTACCATTTAAGGCAATGTTGGTGAGCTTGCATTTAGAAGAGGCTATTCAGTGAGGCAAAAACTGATGACTAGGCTTTTCATGGCGCCATTACGGGGTTTCAGGAATTTATAATACCTAACGGTTTCTACGGGAAGGGTGATTTGCATTAATGACGTAGCAACAACAGAAGAGAAGCATTCCATACTACCCAACTTTCTGCTCACGGACAAACTGTTTTACTATTGCCTCACATGACATTACCTAGTTAATCATTAGTTAATCGGCGTACAGTTGCTTGTGTCTAACGGTTTAAAACAGTTATAACATCTAAAACCAATTTCATTATGCAAACTCTCAATTTCCATTTAATGGATTTACTTGAATAAGCCATGAAATTGACGTATCTTGCTTCGGCATTGTTTCACGCCATTATCCACATACTGTTTCAGGTAAGACTTCTATTCCACAAAACATACCGGGCTAATGGAGGTAAATTCAATACTCTAATAGTATTCGCTTTCAGGGCAATCTATAGCGTCGTGGTATCTGATCCTGAGGAATAATTTAATTGCAGTTCACTTTTCATAGGTGAATAGTCCGCTAATTAGATTAAATGATGTGCAAATTGGATACATGAGTACTTGTATCTCTTATGCCAACCTTTGTGGAGCCCCCTCCCCTACCCCCC